AAGATATGGCATCCAATGATTTGTACATAGGAGTAATTATAAGAAATGGAGGCATTTCTATGTCTCATTTGTTTTATGCATATGTCATACTTTTTTTTTTGGGTAAGTGGGACATTTAGAATGTCAAAAACATTGTATGTGTTATGTTGTTTTTACTTTACATTGGATTTGAGGATTGACTCGCATAAGTCGAACTTGTATAATATGCGTGTTAGTTTGATTAAAGTTGAGCATCTTGCGTAGAGCACTGGTTATTGCTTGGTTTCTTTTTCATTTATGTGTGATGGACTGATGGTCTTCCTTTTTATTCTAATATGACATGAAAGAAAGTTTGGATGATGATATTTGATATAATTAAGATAAAGTTGTCAAAGCCGAAAAAGAAGTTGTTGTCTATTAGGAGTCGATCTACCATTTTGAAGTTTGTCAATGATAGTCTTGCTATACATTATATGTCCATTTTTATTCTTCCATAAATCATTTGTCACTTTTGGAGAGCGTTAAATCTCTTTTTTCCTAGGGATGTGAAATTCATGAAAGAAATATTTCATGGGTTAAATGGGAAATTGTTTTGGAATCTAATGAAAATGGTGGTATCTATGTTGGAAGCTTTTTTTACGTTCAACTAGTCTTTTTACATAATGGATGAGACATTTTGTTAACGATTCTAATTCTTTATGGGTTAAAGTTGTTATATTTATTCATGGTAATGAGGGAGGTTTTGGTTCTAACGGTGACAGGTCGAGTAAGAATAATATGTTGTAAAAGATAGTTGGAATAATTAATCAACTTCATGATAAAGGTATTATTCTTCACTTTTATCATATAAAAAGAGTTGTTTAATGACTCTAGTATAGAAGGATGCATGGATTTGTGAAGTTCCCTTTTGTGATAGATTTTGAGACTATAGGGTTATTTAATAGTTTTTGATAGAATCTCTAATTGAGTCTGCTTCTTACTAGAACATTTTGTTTGATTATCTGATTATGTTGAATGGTGAAAATGAAAATTTTAGGTTTCTGTTTAAAATAATAATACATACCAAAAAACATAAATTTTGGTTCATTAATACAACGTTGTTTCTTTATCAATTAAATATACATCATAAACATTCAAAAACCTTATTAGTTTAATTAGAAACAAAGTACACTTGCAATATAATAAAAACAAAGTGAACTTACAAGCATCCTTATCAACCATGCGAGTTCGTAGAATAGAGGATGCATATATTGAGTCTGTAACAATCAAAAAATACTTCAAATGGATATGATTATGACATAAAAATTATGTAGCACTCGTTTCCAGTTATTTCCATTTGAACCCTAACATTTTAAAATTTTTAGCATTTAAGCCCCTTACGTCGGGTGTATTAGCCTTATACGCAAGGCTATCTCAACCAATTTGAGGACTCTAAGCAAACAAAAAAATCAAGGTCCTACGGTTTTATAACTTAAACCAAATTCTAAACTCTTTCTTAACGCATCTCAGCTAATCACTTATATAAACATGAAGTTTGTTGAAGTTTTGATCTCCCAGCCGATGTGGGACTAAAAGGTAGAGTTAATATGAAGCACGAGGATGGTCGAGCTTATATAAGAGAGGAGAGTTGGCTAAGTTTCATCCATGAGCGATGTGGGATATGTTTAAGTAGCTTCCAAAATAAAATGAATGAAAGGTAAGCAAAAAAAGATTCAAACGTGAGACCCTTAGTTTGATAAACCAACGTTTTTACCACTATGCCAAGCTCCAAGTTGTCTTTATAACCCAAGAAATACATATATATACATATATAGTTAACAAAATAAGCTTTAAAAATAAGGGCCCTTTAGAATTGGGAGTCATAAGCCCTTCCTTAGTTTTGCAAAGGGTAGAGCCGACCCTGCTTCTACGCCGGACGTAAACCAGGATAAGGATCAAGGTGGTTGAGGAGTACGATGGGCGTACATATGGGTACGTTGGGCGTACTCATGTAGCTTCCAAAACCCTAAAATTTAGGATTGTGTCCCCTATTTAAGCATCTTAATCCCCTTAGACCTCCTTATGACCATCATCAATTTCCTCCAAACCCTAAAATCGAAACCCTAGCTCTTGTGAATGAGATTTGAAACTTGAGAATGATCCTTGAGTATTCTTGATAGATAAGGAAGATCAGTCAATAGGTGGTGGTGCGTTCTAGCCTTTGGATCCAGAATCCACATCTCATGGTTCACCTTTTGAAGGTATACTTTGATAGATCTAGTTTAGACTTGGATTTAAGTTCATATTGTCCCAAAACCTTGATCTTTGTGAGTTTTGAGCACTCCATAACATATGAGTTGTCCTTTCAGACATTTTAGGGTGCATAGAGTCATAAAAATGTTATCTTGGTCCTTTACTATCTTCCATGCATGAGTTGTGAAGATTTTGGTGAAGTAAAATGTTATGGTTCTGAGGTTAAGCTCTCTTTAGCCATGCAAAGGCATAAAATCAAAGACCTTATGGATTAGGACATCGTTTAAGGATCAAATATGAGGTTGGAGTAAATGTCTTATTGATTAAGACATTAAAAAATGGATTTTGAGTCAAGGTCGTGTACGTTGAGCATAATCCTCGCTACACTCGGCGTAGCTAGTTGCGAACCACCGTTGACTTTCATTAAGATGTATACGTCGTGCGGATGGCCGCCGTTGACTTTCGTTGACTTTTAACCAAGTGTGCCTTTTTGGCAATTTGTGAGGGTCTTAGATCTTGAGAGGGGCAAAATGGTCTTTTGTCCAATTTATGGATTAGACTTGGATTGGGATTAGTGAAGTATGAAAATTACCTTAATTATTAATTAGGGTTAATTGGTGTAATTATTAGGCGGAATCTAGTTTTCGACAGTTCGGGTGTGAGTTCTATCAGTCATCTGTGTGAGGTGAGTCTCCTCACTTATTATAACTTGTGTGGTAGAATATATTTATATATGTGATGCCCAGCTGAGTCTATGTGTTATTATGATATGTGTTGCTTTATGTGTGCTGAGACTCCGGGTAGTTCCTAAGGTTGCTGATAACCCACAGGGCGTACTGTTTGCCCACTGAGAGTTAAATAATCTCCAAGGTTACTGATAATCCATAGCTATTTATTTTGTGTTATATTGTATGTGGTATTTTGGAGAACTCACTAAGCTTCGTGCTTACAGTTGTTGATTAAATGTGTTTCAGGTACTTTTAAGGATGGTGAGAAAGCGAGTGCTTTTGTACACATTCGCCTGCAGTTTATGATATCGGATATTTTGGGACACTCTGATAATTTGATGATGATTTGTATTTAATACTATGATTTTCTTGTGATGGCTTTTATGAACAATGTTTTTATATGAAATTAAAAATGAAATTTTTGGTTGAATATTTTGAATGTTACAAGTTGATATAAGAGCCATGGTTTGATGGATTTGGATGAACACTCGTGGGATTCCAAACTCTGAGGATTTTCATAAAAACTTTTCAAAAGAAACCAAGAATTTTAAAGGAGAAAATTAGATGACGCAGTGTTTACAACCAGCTAGAGATTGAGTGATAGCTTCCCAAAATTAGATGAATTGTTGTTTTATGTTATTATGTGCATATATATTGAAAATTAAGAGATAAGAATATAAGATTGAGAAAGAGAAATTTAAGATAAGAGACCCCCAAGGAATACAGAGAAAGATTGTTGTTAGATGTTGCATGGAAACTGTGTGGATGACAGAGTCCGGTTCCTTGTGTGCTGATAATAGTAGAGATATGTGATCATTCAAGAGGATCAATATAGTATGTGACTAGTTAGAGACGTGAAGTATGTGAGATAAGATATTGTTTTTATGTATGTTACGCTATTTTATAAGTTATCATACATGTTTTTATGTATTTCAACTTCAGTTAACAAGCCCTAGAGAGTGTGGATATAGAAGCATCAATAACATGGATTGGACTTTTGTTTCATGCCTTATTTCTTGTTGCTTTAATTATGGTTAGGATATGGATTTGTATACCCGTAATGAATTGTGAAATTGTTCTTGAATACTTTAGAACTCTAGTTTTGTGAAATGTGTAAGATACTCTAATATTTTCTAGAAATTTGATGTTATTATGAAAATTACAGGTCGCTACATAAACGGTGATATTAAACAAGCACAACAAGTTGACTAGACCAGGTCATATAAAAACACCCGTTCAAACCCAAATCAAACATGCCTTATATCTACTTGAGATTTAAAAAAAAAAAAAAAAAAAAAAAAAAATGCTTGGAAGTTGATGGCCAACTAAGGTTGGTGAAGGGAACGAGAGTACCCGATTCTGGGATTCGACACAACTATTGGGTCCACTTGTGCCTTCAGATAAAACATACAAATAGGTTTGGAATTTTGATATTTATGTAAGTTTTTATATTGATGAGGGTTATTTGCGAGGGGGGAATGACTGCACTAAATGGAATATATTTATTCCAAAAAAGATTAGTACTCTTGTTTTACCAAACGAATTACAACCCATTCTAGTTTCGTCAATAAAGGTATTGATCTAGTGTATATTATTTGTATAGAATCATACTACGGATGTGTATCATTTGTTCTTTACTTGAGATGTAGCAGAACAATTTGGTCAAGTATTGGTAGTCCGTGGGATCTTGTTATTCGTTGTAGTATTCTTGTCATAATGTGATGATTTTAGGCTCCAACAATATGCATGACAAAATTAAAGGTGCAATGAATTTCTTGCTTACAAAACCTCCTATGTGATTGGGTTTATAAAAAAATAGAATACAAATACAACACTTTAAAATTTTATAAACAAAAAAGCCTATATAGCACTAGATAGATATAAATGAACAAATCCATTCCAATATGTATTAGTAATATTTGTTTTGGCTCTTACTGAACCAATTTTCTTAATTGTTACGGATATAGCTTTTATTGGAAATCAAAATGAACAATTTTCAAGGTTAATGCACAAAGAAGCTCCAAAATAGGAATTCATTTAAAATACTTGGGTTTTTGATGATTAAAACCTCATGCCTCGTTTTCTAAAACAAAAAATAACAATAATAAGCACAACATGTCCATAAGAAGAAGCTAAAACACAGATACATAAAAAGGACTTGAGTTTATTTAAACACTAATAAAAATGACTCCACCAAACCAACATTCATCACCATGTCATGTGTTTTAAATTAATTAGTGAAAAAAACAACACAAGCAAAACAGTATTATTATTTTTAAGATCATAATCATAATCATAATAATAATAATCATTTAAACACATTCACACACACTTACTGTGTCCGCATCCTGCTGTTTTCTGCAGCCCTCACTTGCATGAAATAAGGATGCGCCTATTTCAATAAAACAATATATACTTTTGTCACATTTACTCATCATTTTATGAAAATTACGTTTTTTTTATATAAAAAAAATATAAAAGTAATGTTACCATTGCTTCTTTTGCTGTGAGCCTATCCTGATGATCATAGCGAAGGAGTTTATCCAGAAAATCAATTGCCTGAAATTAAAAAATAAAAAAATATATATATTTACTTTCAGTAACCAATAATTAATTTATAAGATTAAATTATTAAACTAATTACCTCTGGAGATACTAAATGCTGATTGTCTGCATTCATAAACTTTGACCATGGTTTCCTGCTATGCCTGATCACAAAATAATATAATACTTTAGTATATAAGATATCGATTAAATCTTAATATTATATATTTTAAATTTTTTAAAAATTAAATATTACCTTCCAACAAGAGCTTCAAGTTGAGGTTCAAGTTCTAACTGATATTTGTTCAAATATGCATTTAATTCATCAGTCCCAAGCACCTATTTTCAGTTCACAAACTTTATTAAATTACTAATTCTTGCATTAATATTTAAATAAATAAATAAATAAATAAAAACATTACCCTAGCAATTTTGACAAGCTGATCCTGGTTGTCATGCCCATAAAAGAAAGGTTCCTTGCGAAATATCTGCAACAAAAGTTAAACTGCTGAGCTGGATTTATAATAATAATAAAAAATGCCACGTCAGCAGTGTAATATTAAAAAATATATATATACCATTCCAGCAAACATGCAACCGAGGCTCCACATGTCTAAAGAATAGTCATAGTCTTGAAGATCAACCAGAAGCTCAGGCCCTTTAAAGTATCTATGTAATGAACAACATAAATTAAAAAATTTCAAAATGATTAAATGTAAAATCTAAAATTATTAAATAAATTATATACCTGGAAGCTACACGAACATTGTATTCTTTTCCAGGATGATAAAACTCTGCAAGTCCCCAATCAATCAATCTGAGTTTTCTCAATTCATGATCAATCATCACATTATGAGGCTTCACATCTCTGTGCATGATTCCTTGTGAGTGACAATAATCCAATGCCTGCAACCCCACATAAGAAACTAGTACCAACTTCAGAATTTTTTACCATTTTACCCTTGGGTACCAAATCCCATCATAAAGATCATAAAGTTAAACTTACCTTCAGAAGCTCATAAATGTAATATCGAATATCATAGTCTGTTAATGTTGGATACAGAACCTTGAAGTCTGTGCTGTTGACATACTCAAATATCAAGCTTGGAGTTTTTGAGTGTTGATCTCTCACTATGTCAAGGAGTTTTATCACATTTGGGCCTCCACAAAGATTCTGAAGTATTTTTATCTCCCTTTTTATCTGTTGCACATGAAGATATGATAATCAGTTTCTTTGTTGATAGGTTAATACTTCATTTGGGAGTGTGAAGATTGAAAAGAAAAAGCTTACTTTCTTCTTTTTCACAGGTTTCAGAATCTTGATTACACACTTCTCGTTGCTGTTGACATTTATGCCCTCGAAAACTTCACTGTATTTTCCCCTTCCAACTTTTCGAACAACTTCATAGTCATCCTGATCACTGAAAACCAACATAAAAGTATCAGTATTTGAGTTCAATTTCTATCATCACCAAAATTCCCTAACTTCTTCTGTGATATGTATGAAATTAGCCTACAAAAGTTTAGCAGATGGAACAAACAGGCACTTTGTTGATGTATCAGTATTTGGCTAATTAATGTATATCCCTGACACTGTCCCTGTATGTACATAAGCCCTCCAATTCCAAAAATGTGAAGCTGTTTGTTATGTAACAATACAAGACATGATCAGGAATTCTCCATTAAAGTCATGGGAAAGATACCTAGTTCACCTATAACAAATGAGTCCATCTCCATGTTCAACAAATAACATGTATGCCTATACGGAAGACGGTAGCAAATGCATTTTGAAAGAAACTAATACATGTGTGATTTTGAGAAAATGCAAAACAAAGCTGTAACTGTAAGCAAATCTCAACCCTAATCCCAATTTGAAACGAATTCAATATCAAATTAAGCCAAGTAGCTACACATAAAACCAAATTATTTTGTCTATCAATTCAAATCATAAGATAAATCACAGTAATTGGAGTAAAATCTAGGGTTTAGTTAGGTTACCCCCACTGAACAGTAAGTGCTTCGTAATCCCAGTATTCCCTAGGGCGAACAACGTTGACATCCGCGTAGACGCGAGATTTAGACATGTTGTTCACAGGTCTGGAGCGGTTGATGGTGTCGTAGAGGCAGTGATCGACGATCTGTTGAACGGATGAAGCGGAGAAGTCGTCGACAGATGCTCCTGGGCTGGGGAAAAAGGAAGGGCAGGGCTGGTCGAAGTAGGAAGCAGCGGCGACCACCGAGGAGGAAGGGAGGAGAAAGCGTACGGAGAAGAAGAGGAAGAGGAAGAGGAAAAGGAAAAGGGAGGAGTGGGTTAAGGTTAAGATGAAGAAGAAAGAGCGTGGGGAGTCATTGTACATGTGCTGCCCCTGCCACCGCCAAATCGCACCATTCAATCAAATCCAGTGAAGTAAGGAAGCCCATTTGACCATTTGATTCATCATCAACAAATGCTCTCTCAACCGATCATCTTAGTGGTCTAGTCTTAGTGGCCACATCACATTCACATGAGGGGATTTTAGATTTTCTTTAAATTCATTTCTCATTCAAATATTCTAACAGGTTATTACTCGAATCAACCCGACCCGTGATGTATAAAGATTGAGACCAAAGCCAATGGGTTATATTGTTGGATTGAGCTTTAGAAAAAACATAATGTTAATAATTAGTTAATTGTATAGGTGTACAGAGCAGGTTTTTCAAGAAACAGGATCGGTTTTGGTTCGGTTTGGGTCAATGAAGTCAAAATCGGATTGGGTTAGAAACTGGATCGAATTCAAACCGGTTTAAATCGAAAATATGTTGAATCGGATCAAATTGGACTAAGGAAAAGCAGTTTGAAAAAAAAAAAAACAACAAAGAGTCGGACAATTAAGGTTATGAAGCAGGATTTTTGTTGTTTGTTGGTTGTCTGAGAAACCTGAGAACTTGGACCGATACATGAGCTACTTCACAAAGATCATCAACAATATTAATGCACAATTGTTGTTTTCTTGTTGGTTCAGGTGCACCAAAGTATAAGAATTCAACATCCATTTTTGGAGATTGCTTTGTACAAGAGTTTGGTAGCAACTTTTGGAGGTTGCTTCTTGTAGAATAAATGAGCTCCACCAATAGTCTTGTGTATTATTTTATTTGCGAGTATAAATACATAACTAGACTATCTTTTTTTTTGTCCATCGGTACAAATTCATGACAACACCTTGTAATGTATGAATACAACCATGCTTTTGTTAAGACCATGTATACATGACCATGTACTTTTGTATTTCTTGTTTACTTTCTCTATAAGCAATAAACAATGTATTTATTGTTAAGACTTCCCATAATATATAGTTTCATTAGGAAACCTCGAAAAAACGGTTTCAGAACGGTTCATGTCAAATCGGCCCCAAAATGATTTCAATAGCTAGAACGCCAAATCGGTCCAAACCGTCAGATAGATTTCAAACATATTTGATTTCATTCAAACCGGTTTCATTTTCGAATTGGTTTCATATTATAATTTTTTTTTCATCTCTGGTTGATCATTGATGGCAAATGATACAAACTCCTTTACTTAGTAGCCACGTTTCTTTTATTTAGTTAAATAGCAGTTGCATTTTATTAGGAACCCGCTTTTCATTATGCATGTGTGTTTCCTTAATTCTAGTTTAGCACTAGGTGAAATGCATCTTTAAATTGTAAGTTCATGTTTGAAGTAAATATGCAGAAAAGTTGTTTCAGTTTTGTCTATCAATCTATCTTTCTAAGAAGATCTGTCAATCTCGAATTTGGCTCCTATCATTTGGTGTTGGCTCCTATCATTTGGTGCTTTCATTTTCTTACCATGCCTCGTAAACAAGAAAACAAACCCGAAGGACCCCTCCCCATACAAGATCAACTCTAAGCTCTCGTCCATCTCGCCACAGCAACTACAACCTGCCTGGATGTCATCTCCAAGCACATGAACGGCCTCATTTGGTTCCTCACCAATCAACAAAACAACCACCCTTTGGTCGTCGCCACCACCGCCACAACAACAACCAAGACTGCCAAAAAATAATCTTCCCCACTTTGATGGTACCAAGCCACTTGACTGGTTGTTCCAAGCGACCAACTATTTTGAGTATTATGCAATTTCGCCACCACAATGACATTCACTTCCATTTGTCTATTTTACCGTAGAAGCTTTGAGTTGGTACAAACATGTGGCTTGCAACCAAATGCTTGGTACATAGCCAGAACTTACTCGAGCATTGGAATTGCTTTTTGGCCCATCCACGTATGTGAATCATCAAGCAAAACTCTTCAAGCTTGTGCAAACTTCCACTATTTCTGCCTACCAAGCCGATTTCGAGATGACTAGCAATTGTGTTGCCAAACTCACACCAGAAGCATTGTTGAATTACTTCTTATCCGGCCTTTGCGGTGACATTCAAAACAGAATTGTACCCCACAAACCCACCACCTTTCATCAAACTTACAGGCTTGTGAAGCTCGTCGAAGACAAACTCTATGCTCAACTTTCGCATTCTGATGGTTCTATCGAACCTCCACAAACGGAACTGTCTTGATTATCCGCTCCTTCACCATCTCTTCCAACACTTTCGACCAAGTGGTTAAGCCCCACCGAGATGAAAAAACGACGAGCTGAAGGTTTTACTACAATTGTCCCGCAAAATACCAATCGGGCCACCAATGCAACCCACCAAAATTTCTCATTCTTTCATTAAAGACCGACCCACCGTGGACTTCTATAGCACAATATGATCACGACCTTGAGGACAAGGCCATTTTTTCAGGGTGGACATATTTATACAAACTCCTTTGCTTAGAAGCCACGTTTCTTTATTTAGTCAAAGAGTAATTGCATTTTATTAGGAACCCACTTTTCATTATGCATGCATGTTTCCTTAATTCTAATTTAGCACTAGGTGATTGTTTCTTTAAATTGTAAGTTCACATTTGTAGTAATTCTAATTTAGCACTAGGTGATAATACGAGGGACTCACAGTTCGATATGCCCATCACTTGTCGGACATTTGTGTTCCATTGCTTTGATCCTATAGTTGAAGTCTCTTCTCCTCACCCGAAGGTTGATAAAGATTTGGTTGATTATTATTTGGAATTCGCTCAGCCTCAGTACTTGATATGGAGTGCTCATAAGATAACATTTGTCAAGGTTTTTAAACCAACTGTTGCTGGGAAATTCATAAATGTGAAGTTCAGGGTGACCCGGGGATCTGATGACTCGGTGCATGTGATCACGTTGGCTGATCTTCCAAATCTAAACCCACATGACTGTATTCTGTTGTTCAACATTCTTCTCACTAGTCAAGAGCATTATGAGCCGATCCTTGATCATATAAAGAGAATGTTGGCTTCCTATATCCATGAAGTTGCTAAGATGGATCAGGAAGTGGCGGTTGTTCTGAGAAAGAAGCCAACAATGAAGCCCATTAGAAAGCCAAGTGATATCAACAAGATGAAGACAGGTAAGATTGACCCGAAACATCTCACTGTCATGTTCACAAGAGGCGAAGGTGAAAATTTTCTTTTCGCTCTTGCTGACAAACATATGTTCTCCACTTCCTACATGGAGCATGTTCTTGATATCACTCACCGATGCAAATACAACAGTGATTCAGACAAGAAGAATTTTTTTGACATGCTTCGATGATATATACATTTTCATCATACTCTTCTGGCCATTATACCGAAGGTGTTCAAGACAGTGAAGAAGTATTCTCTTTCTTATCCGAACTAAGATCTCGCCTCTATTGATGCAAAGGGGGAGATTCTTGACATTAGAGTGTTGCGTCATATGGGCTTATCTGTTAACATTTTGATTACCCGGTTTGGGCCTGTCCAACCGCGATTTATGCATTAGGGTTACCGTATATAATATGCATGCATGTATAGTTTTGAGGTTAACGTTTTTCATTAATAGCAATAGCGTTGTAACCCTAACCACACCTCTAAATTCGAAGTTCTTCATCGAGCTCTTCTGAGGTGTGAGATATTAATCATTCGACATCTTTGATCCATTCTCGTGTTCATTGCTTTGTTATTCTTGTTAATCTGTTTAGAATCTATCGATCTAATAGCGCAATATTTTCAACACCTACTAAAAGATCGAGACACAAAGGACTGACTCGCACCCGAGTCAAATAACACAAGAGCAGGCAAAGAATTCACTAAGAGTGTACCTATCATAAACATAAACATAAGCATACCGAAATATAATCGACAAAATAGTACATGGACATATACTAGTAACAACGTCTGGTGCCGCCCTGGCCTCCTTTGCCGTGAGCTGAAAAGCACGACCTCGATCCCTCGAGGGCTCCGCCCTACCCTGTCTCCCATCGGTGAACCTCAAAGTAGTTGGCGCTGGAGCCTGCGCCAGTCCCGCTGTGAGCAAAGGATAGTTGGCCTTAATATGGCCAACCTTTTCATAGTGATAACATATCCTAGTGGTCGGTGTGGGGATATGCTGGCCACAGTCCTTGGCATAATGCCCATCCTTGCAACATTTGTGGCACCTAGAAGTAGATCAATAAGAACCCTCATGAACCTTGCTATACTTTCCACAAGTGCGGCCCCTCTAACTCCCAGATCTCACATTAGCGGCCTTAAAACGCTTCGCTGCAGGCTGCGACTACACCAGAGACTGCCTGTGCTCCCTCGTTTGGAGCTCCAACTCAATCTCCCTCTGCCTAGCGGCCTCTTGTAACTCAAAAAGTGTACCATAGAGTTGAGTATACATAAACTGGTGGATGTATGTCTTGAGCATACTCAAGTATCGGGTCATCTGAGCTTGCTTAGAAGCCGCAAACTCAGGGCAAAATAGAAATCTCTCAGTAAACATCTTGTTGATCTCCATCACCAACTTATTATCCTGTCGCAAGTATAAATACTCCAGGACCAATCTATCCCTCTCAACCAGTGGGACACGTCTCAAGAGAAACATCTCAGAGAACTGCTTCCATGATACAATAACTCTCTTCTCTGGATTGTATGAACTAGTGACCAGTCTCCATTAATCCTTCGCTCCAGACCGAAGAATGTTCATAGCGCACTTGACCTTCTGGTCAGCTGGGCAGGAGCAAGTAAAGAAACATTCCTCAACATCAAATAGCCATCTCATGGAAATGATTGGGTCCTGAACCCCATCAAACACCGGGGGCTTCATATTATCGAAGTCCCGGTACCGGAAGGCTCTCCCCCCCTCCAATCCCCACATCAGCAAGAGTTGCGATAGCTACAAAAGCAACAACCTCTGAAAGTACATCATATCGGTCATCAAAGAACTCCATCATGGCGGTCTTGATAGACCCAAACAACTCCGGTATCTTCCCCCTTGACAATAGAAATAACCTCAACATGAATCATCTCCCTAACCTGATCCTCAGTCAACCCTGGCCTATCATGGCCACTCGCTCCTGATTTGGATCCCCCTGTGAACATCATACTAAAATAAACCAGAAACTATCAGATAAAGTGCAATTCATATCACAGGAGCTATTCGAAATAACAAAACGCTAGGGGTTGTGACTTTCCTGCCACACGTATGGGTCTTGTTCTTCTAGTAGTACGTGCTCATACTACCTTCCGCACCTACCCATATTTCTCTCAGAAGATCATCACAACAACCCTAAAAACACACACTAAAATATGCATACATCCTATTATCTCTTCCTAGAGAAAAGCTAGACATTCCTCAACTGGCTTGTCGACCCCACATAACTTATCCATGAAACTTCTACCAACCTTGCAGCACTCGTGTATGCTAATCATACATAACAATGGACCCTATAGACAATCGAATACCTGATTCTACCCTAAGCCTTTCGTCAAACAATAACATGAAATAAGGCTAAACCAAACATTCTCGGACTATGGAATCTTATTTATGTACAACTATGATGCATACACTAAGCAACTACAGTAACGATGTCAATTTCATACCATAAATAATCCTAGGCTATTAAGCATCATATGTCTGGCAATTCTATCATGCAATTCCTGAAGATCCTTAGCCTATGACTAGC